ATGATATGAATGTTTTAACAAGCATTATAGGACTTGAAAACCAGCACAATAATTTAAATAAACCATGACCTGCAACTAAAAAAAAAAAAAATGTTACAATTCATATAACTTGTGTTTTATTTCATTAGTCCTTACTTATTGGTCCTGTAATAAAATGACATAAATATAATGATGCAAAAAATAGTTCATTTCCTGCACACATGAAAAACAGTACCGGTTTTGATGTATAATAACATTTCATTATCGGATTTCCAGACATATCTACAAATTTATGGCTAGTTTTACCTTGCAAAATTGATCTATTAAAAACAAATTAACTGAATTATATCCATGAAAATATGAACTTATAATTCCATATGTATTACGACTTACGAGTGCAAATAGATCCAGTGACAAGCAATATCAATAATACAGCTAAGTTGGAACAAAAACATATATTTTGGATAAAAATTAGACAATGCAATACATAAGCTCATTGTTCCACAGCGGTCAGTTAGTTGATCTAGTATAGCCCCAAACTTGGTACCTAAAAGAAAACACTCACTTACATCATAAGGGACATTAAGGATTATATAATACACTAAAAGAAATATATATTTTTAGACTAAGGAAAATTCATATTTAACATTTTGAATCTATTAATAATTACAAACAGTAAATAGTAACAGTATGCTAACTATAAACTGATTGTATGTTAGTTATTAAACTTCTGTGGTATTCTTACTTTGATTAAATGCTCGAGCTGCATGACCATCAAAAGCATCCAATAGTGCACTTATCACATAACAACTGCACGCAACTTTGTAATTGGTTGGCATAAAGTAAATTGATATGACTGCTAGAATTATTCTGGCATATCCTATAGAATCAAGAAAAAACYAAATAAACCTACAAATTGTTTATATATAATTTTAAACCTAAATGAAATGTATAACTTTAATAATAATATATAAATATATATTTATAATTAAAAAATAATAGGTACCTAGTACCTAAAAGGTACATATTATTTGAAAATAATTTTTTTGAAGGAAATATTTCTCGATTGGATACAATTGTATAGTAATTATTATGATATATATTTATAAGTTATTACAAAATATGAGATCTATGGAATTTATAAGTAAGTACAACACAATATGTCATCCGTGTTGGTGAATTRGGATTAAAATTGCTAATTAGTTTATATTGATTCTATGTTGGTAATAATCCATAATAACTTACCAATTAAATTTGGCACAAACAAAAAAATATTTTCTTGTTTACCCATTTTAAATTGAATATATTTAATACAATATTGACAAAAGTAGTGTAAATATTAAAAATATAACAAATTTTAGCCTAAATCAATGTAAAACTGTTAATTTAAATAAGGTAGTTACGATGTGTTATTATAAAAGGCTATTAATATGATTAAATCGTAATAAGTAGATGCTATAGTGAACTTCAATAGGCATTAGGCAATGGCACAACACTACAAAACAAAGTCTACAAGACTACAACAGTAAACAGTTGTTGAACAGCACAACACCAACACGCAAGAGATATTGGCGACTGGCGTATTCGTATTGCAATTTGCAAGTGCTACACTACTGCCGTCTGTTGGCTGATCGGTGACGAGTACAGCAGTACTGGCAGTACTGATCACTGATGAGCCATGACCGAAGAACGGGTAATTCGCTACTTCGGTACTATTCTTTAATCTATGGTACTTGTACAACTTCAAACTTGACCGAGACGCCGAGTATCGACGAATAGAAAATATAATTAATACTAAATACAAAATACACAAATATAGTTTATTATACATACATATATATATATAAATAATCATATTATGTGATAATGTAACGTAATAACATTGATTAAATCACGGGTACTTAAATATATTTAATCAATGGTAATAATATAATAATATTGATAAAATGATAACACAGAGAATGAATTATAGAATACACCCAAGGTGTAAATAAATATATAAATAAATAAATATAAATATATAAATATAAATATAAATAAATATTCAAATAAATAAATCCACCTTGAATACACCATTAGCACAGGCCACAGACTATATGAATACTACTACTACTACTTTTCATATAGTCTGTGCCATTAGTGTATATTTTATTGTTTTTCATATGAATTGTATTATTATGATTCATGGTAACATGGTGATTATTAGTTAAGTAAACTTTATTATTAATCATAATATATTATAGTATACAATATAATAATAGCCACTAATAACTATTAATTAATAATAGTATACATAAATATACTGTATGAAATATGTGATTATAGACATTATAATTTATAGTTGTCTGTACCAAATARTTTATGTCTTATATAGTTATATTACTATACAATATACACACAGTCACMCAGACATTTATCATGCACACAGACGTATTCAATATTGCCGGGGCGTCATTTGGAGTAATGTCATGGTGTAGCAACAGTAGAAATCCAGAGGAAGGGGAGCTAATGAGCTTTAGCCCTCCCCCCCCAATTGACTAAGTGAAATCTAAAAAATAACTTTTCAACATTTAATTAAGACAACAATAAACTATTATTTTATGTTGTAAAACTAGATTTTTTAAAATAATAATATGAAAATATAGGTACTTAATTTAGTGATTTTCTATAAATTTATCGTATCTCGTACTGGCTCGTAGGATGGCATAACTATTAATTATTAATAATTTGCTATTCCAATAAAAATAGTAGGGTAGCAATTGCTGCCTTCGATTTTTATCGTATAAASACAATTGAAAGTGCGGTAAAACAAAGTGCTGTGCGAATGCGAAAATCACTATCAGAAACTTCATCACACATAACTTTCATAACTAAGTATAGTTCATAACTGATAGATTCTGATTGCAGCATCATTCTTGTAGCAGTGGATACGTATGTTTATAAAATCAATATTTGTAATAGCCAATAGGCATGTTGAACTCAAGTTACATGTGAATGCATTGCGTAATATTTGCAAAATAGCGAACTTATCAATTSAATATTCATTAAATCATAACTTCATAACCGAAGTCCGAACAAGGCCGCTAATTTCTGACTTTACAATTATTTTTCGTAAATCTAATTACATAAATTAAGGTAGAATAAAATGCAAAAAAGGTGTTCGATAAAGAAATAAAGTTACCAAAATTCAAAATATACAGTGTGTTGACTTATGATTTGATTATTTTGATTTAAACCATGATAAATTTATCATGATTTAAACTTTAACACAATAAATTTCACCGGTTGTAAATAGTTTGTAACATAATATTTTGGCGGTTATTTGTATGATTGAAGTTACAACCAAAAATAAGTATATTGATTTTTCAAAACAAAATTTTAAGTTTTATTTCGTAAATGATTTAGTTTAATGTTGGATGAATAATTGTATAAATATTATATTTTTGATTGTCTGTCAATAATAATTAATAAATTAATGTTTTGTTTAAAATTCAAATAAATTTCATTTTAGATTGTTATTCCATGAAAATCATATGTCAAAGAGATTGTGAAAACATATTTATCATTTTAATATGTTTCTAACTTCATCTTCAACTGTATTTATGATTTCTCTCAAAAAGTGTTATGGAAATTCTCACGAGGATCGTCTTTCTTAATTTATATTTCTTACGGCTTTTGTAGTGCTTACAATCTTGGTAATTTATTCAATTAGGTTCTGACCAAAAAAATTWAAAAAATGCCATCGGGTCAACCCTTACCGCCTAAAGAAAATTCCTTATTTAAAAGAATTCTAGTAAGTACTATATTAATTTCCTATTTGATAAACAAGGTTTCTTTGTGACATAGCAGGTAGGTATTATATTTATTTTTTACCTCTTCTGATGTTTTTTTTTAAATTTTTCTAACAAATTATATTCATTCGACTCTATAATTCGAAGTTGATGGGATTTATACATTTCTAATTAGAATTGCTGAGTGGTTCGAAATATCAAAAGGGTTAAAAATAAAATTGAACTAGGTACCTACTGCATTATGTAAAAAATGTCGTGCCTACGATAATCATTCGATAGTTATTGAAAATAATGAGCCAAATCTATACACAATCATAAGGTAGATCATAAGATCAAAAGAAATAGAATTTGATGTAAACACTTTGAACTTTGAATTATCCTGTGTAACGAAGCTAATTTTCTTTAAACTTATGAATTACTGAATGTAGCTAAACGCACTATTTTTATTCAAATTACTGTAAAATTTTCGTGAAATGAGCAATTACTTGATTTAACTTATACCAATCATACTTAACATTTTAATTTGACTTACTTATTTTGTTTTATTTTAGAGATGCTACGAACAGAAGCAATATAAAAATGGACTTAAATTTGCAAAACAGATTTTGTCGCATCCTAAGTTTTCTGAACATGGAGGTAAATAATTTTTCATGCAATTTAAAATGTAATTTAATAATATTCAAATATGATTTGTTTAGAAACTTTGGCAATGAAAGGACTTACTTTAAATTTTCTTGGCCGAAAAGATGAAGCATATGAACATGTTCGACGTGGTCTTCGTAATGATCTCACTTCACATGTTTGCTGGCATGTTTATGGTCTATTACAAAGATCAGATAAGAAGTTAGTTTGAAATATAGATTATGCAAATTATTAATTTTTATATTAATACAGTTTTAATAGAATATAATTAACCATCTTAATGTTTTTTAGGTATGATGAAGCTATTAAATGTTATAGAAATGCACTGAAATGGGAAAAAGACAATATTCAAATTTTACGAGATTTATCACTGCTACAAATTCAAATGAGGGATTTGGAAGGATATCGAGTAAATATAATTATTATTCATTCATTGTTTAGATTTAGTTTATTTTAAAATTTTAATTAATTTTTTTTATGATGTTGTTCATAATCATCTATCTGATTGGAAAGTGAATCAAGTGTGGTACTTTAGGAAGGTCGAAATTCTTGGTAGTTTTCAAAAGAGCTGTGTAAAAAGAAAAAGAGGAAAAATTGGAATTTTTATGCAAAATGTTTTTGATGAAATTGTTTTTGGATTTTGGTATAACTTAGAAACAAATTACCGTAAACACATGAAATTATTACTGAATATTAATATTAGCATTTGCCATTGACCATAACATTTTCAAGATTAGGTTTGGTTATCAAAATATTAAGACCAATTTTTATCTGTTTACGGACACTCAGATTTCTATTTTTTTAGTTTTTTTTTCTATAAATATCAATAAACTTTTATTTGTTGGGTTAAAAGGGTTGAAAATTTAATTCAAGGCTTCTTATTTATTGTGATTCGATGGTAGTTGATGAATGTTAAAAAATTTATGGTTACAATTTTTTATAATTATTTAAAATTCAGATTTTGACAAAATAAAAATCTTGTAGATATACAAATTATTTTAGTTAGAAATTCATAAAATTTATCTATTTAAATCTAAAATTTGAAAATAGAATACAAGATTATTCAGTAGTTTGTCTACTGTTATCAAATAAAAAATGTTTACCGGAAAGTCAAATTAATACAACTTGAAATGAAAAACCTAACCGTACATTTATTTAATTCTTATTCTTAGTAAAATTTTCAAAATATTTCAATTCTTTTTAGGTTATTTATAAACATTTGAAATTTTTTTAGATTCTAATTATAATATGCATTTTAATACAATAATATTTGTTGGGTCAAAAAGCTTGAAAATGTAATACAAGGTTCCCCGTAAGTTGATATAATAGCAGTATTAAAAATACATAGGCACTTTTTCTTTTGTGTATGTTGTTTTAAGTTCACATGTTGACTAAAYTTATCATATTCTAAATTTACAAATTATTTAGTTAAATTATCTTAGGTCAACTAACTGGTTCCGTTCAGAATCGTTTTTCATGTCAATTATGTTAAATCAGTGAATTTAAATTTTATACCATATATTATAGTGATCAGTCACCTATTTGTAACCTACTGTGCAGCAAAGCGACATTCACTTACCCACTTTTTTAACTTAATTAACATGTTGACTGCCGTGTGACCATTGACAATATGTGTAATCGGTATTCAATATGCTAAGTTCATTATCCAGTGCTATTTCAAATTAATTCTGTACATACAATAAGTATTTGAAAAAAATTTTAATATATAAAAAAAAGTTATAATAATATGTTCAGTTTATGATGATTCCCACTATGCCACCCTGCCTTTTTAGTGCAATATTGTAGTAATACCATAAAAAAACATACACAATTTGAGAATTGCAGATGACTAGTGGTCCCATGGTACTCAGCATGTTAATTAAATTCCAATGAGTACTTACTATAATACTAAAAATGGTATGCATAGCATTTTGTCTCAGTGATATTGCACTGTGTGGTGTCTTAAATAATTTAGTGCAAGATTTTAAGTATCTTAAATTCTTTAATTTTTTTTATAAGGACACRAGATATCAATTGTTCATGCTACGGCCAACTCAAAGAGCATCGTGGATAGGTTATGCAATGGCATATCATCTATTAAACGATTATGATATGGCTTTGAAAATTTTGGAAACTTTTAGGAAAACACAAATGGTTTCTGTAAGTTATTATTTTTATTATTCATACTTAAATTAGACATAATAATTATAGATGTTTAAGTCTTATTACTTTTGTATATAATCCCTTTAATTTTAAATTAGCCCCTCTTWTTTTTTACATTACAACATATATCAATTATCTGATTYCGTCAAATTGTATAATTCAATTTATGTGGGTCGTAAGCCAAATTGGTATATATACTAAGTGTAACAGAAAGATCCGAAAAAAAATCATGTTAATTAAATGTATAAAAAAATTGTTAATATTACGTGATAAGTAAATAATTTAAGAATTA